TCCCAACCCCCTCCCCCCCCCTTCCCCCAAACCCGGCTACCCCTTCAGGCCACTACGTGTCCCTGATCAAGAGCAAGAGCCAGTGGCTGTTCTTTGATGACGACAGCGTGGAGCTCATACGCGAGGAGCAGGTCGCAGCCACATTCGGCAGCACGCAGGTTTGCTCACGCCGCGGGGCACTCGGCGAAGGGGGCCGGGAGGGCGGCAGCCGTGGCAACACCGCTCTTGGGGGCGCAAATGCAGGGGTTTGGGCTGTGCGGCATGGTGGGCGTTCCGGTGTTGCAGCGCCGACTCGGCTGCCGGGGCGAAACGGTCGTCGGCCGTGCTGCGCCCATTCGCTGTCTGTGCGTGGGTGCAGGGCCCAGTCTTGCAAATCACCCCTCCTCCGCTGCATGGCGCCTCGCCAAGCGCCCCCCTCAGACTCCCCCCCCTCTTCCCCACACACCCATCCACCAATCACACTCTATGTACACTCCGGCGCGCCGCTTGTACGTCATCACATAAAAACACCCCAACACCCCCAGGAGTACAGCGCCCACATGGACCACGGCTACATACTGTTTTACGAGAAGGTGGGCAGCAGCGGCGGCGGCGGCGGCGGAGGAGCCGGAGGAGGGCCAGGCGGCGGCGGCGGCGGCGCGGCGGCGGGCGGCGCGGCGGGGGGTGGCAGCGGCAAGGGCGCGCCGCCCTGACTCGGGGGCGTGTGGCGCCCCTCAGGGTTGCGAAGCTGGCGGAAGGGAAGCGCTGCCCCTGCTGCCGCACGCCGCAATGCGGGCGCGCCTGATTGTGTTGTTTGTCGTTGCATCGATGGCCCTGCAGGCTTTCACGCCCTTGATCGCATGCCATTGATTCATGCCGCCCAGTCTGGGCTCTGCGTCTGCCCGCCATCTGATGCGTGGCTTCCATGTCGTTTGATTTTGCAGTGTGATGAGCGCCGCGCAGGGGCCTACCAGCTGCGGCACGCATGCTGAATGTCATGCGTCTGCCTTAAAAATTGATGAGTAACGAAACCCTTGAAGGGTGTGGCATGGCCGCGCGCGGCGGCAGTGCCAGGTGGGCGGAACGCAACGCACGAATGTTGCCCCTGTGAGCGCTGCCTAGCGCCTTTCAAGTTCAGGGCCTGGCCGTACCTGGGATGCTGTGCACATCCTTCACAAGCGTGATGCGTTCTTCCGCCCATGGGTGGCGCTCAGGGTCTCTATACGGCCAATGACCTGGCGGAAGCGGGATGGGTGCAGCTTCGAGGCCAGTGATGTAAGCACGCTGCATGGACATCAGACTCGCCATACATTCAATATCGAAGCCTCTTCACACAAATTATGAAACTGCTATAGCGCTGTGTTACATCATATCGACATGGGATCCACGCGCGTCTTCGAGCCCGGCGCGCTCCGGCGTGCTCTTGCCCTTCTGATAGCGTGGCTAGCCTGGCCGGTCTCAGCCCTGCTCGCAGCCCTCGGTTCGCTCCGTGGCGCACTCCTGCGCGGCAACCGCCCATCCCCGGCTGTGCCGCCCGCCCCCAGCGCCGCCGAGTGCGCCCGTCGCCACCCCAAGAGCTCGCCGCTCCTCGACCTGCTGCCGAATAGTGAAGATTCCTCCGACGGTGAGGGCGGCGGCGGGGCCGGCGGCGACGCCGACTCTGCATATGGCCGTGACGACCGTGCGGCGGGTGACGCGGCGGCCGCGCGGCGCCTGTCATGGATCGGCCAGGAGGACCTGGATTGGTTCTGCGAGCGCATAGCGCCCGCGGAGGCGCGGCTCGTATCCATGGAGGGCGGCCCAATCGGCGACGGGTGGCAGCCGATGATGTGCAAGCACGTGCCAGGGGAGGTGAGACGGGGGCAAAGGGGAGGCGCAGAGGGGCCGACGCGGGTGCGGAGGAGACGGCACGAGCCGCGACCGGGCGCCACATCAGCCGTATGTGCACCTTAATGTCAGCCTGTCCATTCTGTACTGCGGGCCGTGGCTGCGCGAGCAGCTGCGGCATGGGCCTCTCCGCGCCGCTCACCCGCCATTTGCGTGGCCCGCCCTCCCAAACCCATGCCGGCTGCCTGCCCCCCTATACACCAAGCTCGTTCCCGTGTTCCCTCGCCCCTGCCTCCCCTTCCGCCCAGGTCAAGTATGTCGCCTACATGCGCGGCCTGCCCAACGGCACCACAGAGTACCTGTCAGCAACGCTGGCTGCAGACACCACGGGAGCAGAGATGGTGGAGTTCTTCGGGGACGACCCAGAGGTGCGCGCCTGCGCCGCGCCGTGCCAGAGCGCTCTTGGATATCTAATCATGGCATGGAATCCTGCATGTCGGTTGACCAACGACACGCACTCCCGGCCGGCCGCAACGCTGCCGCGGCCAGGCTCATGCGACCTTGCCGATAGCCCCTGGCGTGAGGCCCGCCTGGCCCTCGTTTCTGGCGACCCTCTGCGGCATGGCGGCTATCGGTCGCCACGTCATCCATTCCCCACATACCTTAGTGAGCCCTGAACTCACCGCGCCCCGTCCCCTCTTTGCGGATCGACCCCACCCACCCTGCCCGCAGCGGCTCAAGTGGGACCCGATGCTGCACGCCACGCAGCTGGTGGAGCCGGGGCGCAAACTCAAGCGCCAGGCAGAGCAGATCATCCTGTGGCACCGCAAGTGAGCCCCGTGTGTGGCACCTCCGCAACACGAGGGCGCTTAGTTGGTGGTAGAAGTGGAGCCTGCCTCACAAATCTTTACCACGCTGCTGCTGCCTGCAGAGCTCACCGCTCGGCTGCCGCCATGCATGCGCGGCGTCGTCGTTACCCCGCTCTTTGATTGTCACTTGTTGGGTTGTGCCCAATTGAGCCAGCACTCCACCTCCGCCTCCCACTCACTGCAAAACGTGGTGCAAAACGTGGTGCTGCCACCCCGCGCTGCCCCCCAGGTACCCCTTCGCCTTCCTCAAGGACCGCTGGTACTGCATTGCCCGCAAGGTCTTCCCGCCGCCCGCGGGCCACGGCCACGCGGCACCCCACTATGGCATCAGCAAGGTCGTGCCCAGCCCCATTGCGGAGGCCTACGCTGCGGATGAGATGCCCGGTGGGTGGCGACAGGAGCACTTTTGGTTTGAGAGAAGGGGGGGGTGCGCTGGCACGCGCGCTGTCTGAGGGGTTTTGTGAATGGCACCCATGGATCCTGAGTCTGGACCCCTCACAAGTCATGATTCGGCTGGGGGATGAGGTCAACATTCCAAAGCATTTGTCTCACACCCCTCAAGGGCTGGAGGCCGGCTAAACCCTGATTCGTCCTCCTCATCAACCGCTTTGCCCGCGCTCTCCCCGCCAGGCGTCAAGCGCATCGACGAGTTCTACAGCATGTGGAGCTGCCGCACCGTGCCCTCCCCCTGGCCGGCGCCCGACGGTGGCGCCGCCGCGCCGCCCGCATGCCTGACTGTGCTGCTGCACCACGATAACATGAAGGTGCCCGAGACCTTGGCGCGCGTCGCCATCAGGACAGGAATGGTGCGCGGGCGCTCGTGTGGTGTAGCAAGGGAGGGTGATTGGGGTGGGCAACGGGACAGGTCATGAGGTGCGATTGTTGATATGGGTTGCTGTGCGCCTGCTGAGAGGTGGTGGGGGCGCCTGGTGCGTTCGCCGCAAGCCGCTGGGTGTATCTGCCTGCAAACCATGGTTGTGAGCGACAGGGAAGGCTACTTGCCCTGTCTTATGAATGAGATTGCACTGCGATAGTAGCTCACCGCCCTCTATGCCTGCCATGTGCTATCCACTCGTGCTCCGCACCCCAGTGGAAGTTCCTGCGGACGATGGTTGCTGCGACGCGTCCCTGGGCCGCGGCCCGCCGCAGGCGCGTGTCTCCCTTTGAGGACGACCCTAACGCCGCCTGCCGCAGCGCCACCGGCGGCGCCGACGGCCGCCAGCCGCCCCTGTCTGCCGTGTACGGCCACGACGGCACCGGCCCCGCTGCGCCGCCGGCCGTGGCGGCGACCGCTGCGGCCGTCCGCATGGCGGAGGTGCAGGCCGCGGAGGAGGGGGTCACCGGCGTCGCGGTGGTGGCCGTGGCGCCCCCGCCGGCATGGGCGGCGCATGCCCACGATGCGGCGCGGCTCCACGCCGTGGCCACTGCACCAGGCAACCTGCAGCACATGTCCGCCGCCGCCGCCGCTCGTGCCCTGCCCGATGCGAGTGCTCGCGGCCGCGGCGGCGCGGTAGCGGGGGCGGCGGCAGAGTCGTCAGAGTCGCAGCTGGCGGGCCGCTGGCCGGCGTCCTCGTCAGCATCTTCACTCAGCAGCGGCGCGAGCGTCGCAGGGGGGCGCTCGGGGCTGGCCAACTGGATGGGGTGGCTGCCGCGCGGCCGCCACGCGCCGGTGGGGCCGGCTGCGGCGCCGTCCAAGTCCCCGGCGCAGCCTGCACCCACCCCCGCCCCGCCCGCGCCGCCGACCCCCGAGCCGCTGGACGTCGCAGCGCCCTCCACCCAGCAGCCGCAGCCGCGGCGCGCGCTGCCGCCGAGCGAGGCGCTCGCCTGCCTGCCAGGCGCGCCCGCCGCCGCCACCGCGGCGCCGCTCCACGTCGTGCCCTCCGACCCGGGTCTATACAGGCCTGGCAAAACCTGCGATGAGGGGACCCAGACGTGGCTGCCGGCTGGCCCCGGTGTGTGGCGCCTGTCGCGCCGCGAACCCGAGAAGGGGGTGCGCCACGGCATTCTGCCCGGCCTCGCGCGCAGCGTGGCCGCCGGCGCGGCCGCCGGTGTGGCGGTGCTGCTGCTCGGGCGCGCCACGGATGCGCCTGCGGCGCCCGCACCCCGCGGCGTCGCCAGCGCCGGCGCCGCGCGTGGCCGGCCGGAAATGTCCGGCTGGCTGGAGGAGGGGAATGGGCAGGTGGAGGAGCAGCGCGTTGGTGTGTGGCGAGACAGCGGCCGTGACGCGCGTCGCGCTGCTGCTGCGCCGCGGCGGATCGCTGGGCGTTGAGACAGTTGCCCCTGGCTGGACGGGGCATCTTTGAGGGTGTTGCATACCGTACCGCCACCGTAACGTCGTACTTACATCAAGTTTTGCAATCTATTGCAATGGTGGTGGGCTGCTGATGTCATGTCGCGCCGATTCGGGGGGTTAGCTAGATGCATCATGTTCTTTGAGGAGTGCGGCACTGTTGTGGCCGCGGCTGGACACACGCCAAGATAAAGAGAGGAGGGGCAAACTTGCACATGGGATTTTCACCCACAATGAGACAATGGTGATGATGAGTGAAAGGAGTGGCGGCTGTGGGGTCGTGCAGAGTGGACTCACTCCCTTCAAAAGATCTCACTCATATTGTTTGAGATCTCTCGACTGCCACTTTGATTTTGGGAACCCTCTTTGAGTTTGTTTGTCTGCGGGCGACCCCCCTTCTGGCGCGCGGTCTTTTTGCGCGCGTGATGGTCTGTGCAGCCATGTCTAGGCGCACAGGTCGGGAACTGGAGTGTTGCTGTGGCTGCAACGCCACACAGCCACTTGTCAAAACCTCATAATCATGTCCCTCATGTGTCCGCGTGCCTTGGCTCGCGCTGCCTTGAGCCTTCATCGCTCCCAACACACCCTTGTGGCTGCTCACCTGGCCGCCTGTTGCGCATTTTCCCACGTATACCCTCACCGCTGCCTCACTGTGGTGTGAGTATACGTTGGCGGTGGGTGCACAGTGCCATCATAGGCCTTCTCGTTCTGTTGTCTTTTGAGCAACTAATCAGGGCTGCAACCTCGTCATTCATCCCACCTGTGGGTAGGGCCTTGCGCTTTGGGCTGGCCGCTGTAGTGCTTGCTGTGTGATATGCCATTTTAGTGGTTGTTGTTACGTCGGGCAATTGCCTGTCATGGAAGTGTGGTTGCATGGTATGGGGTTTGGCAGTCTGATGCACGTGTGGCGGCCCTGGCTTTGCACAATTGTGTTTTTCTCGCCCAACTCAACATCAATTCGAGTTTACCAGCGAGTGTCCCAAGCCGCATGCACCTCTGGTCTTGTATCGTGGAGCTCGACCTGGCATATGAGGATGAGATTGGCGTTGCCTACCTGGTAGGATGTGTCACGCAGCTGCACATTGCCTTTACCCACCTTGGCGTGTTGTGGCGGGTATGCAACAATTACGTTATCTGTGTACAAAAGGGTGGCTTCTTCTTTTTGAAGATGTAACTGACATATGTTGATTCATTGGTGAATCAGAACATGATGGTACATAGCTGGCCGCCACAGTGTAATTTCAAATCTGGTGATTGGGTGCCTGCAGGTGACATGCACAGGTGGGCCCCAAACCGGTGTGCCAGGATAGGTCCCAGGCAAGCGTGAATGTGCAACTAAAATACCAGTAGCAAATGCTCAATGAGAATATGAATGAATACCTCAACAAGAGAGAGATAGCCTTGAGACATAATTTTACAACCAAATCATATAGTGATTGTGGGGCAAGCAGCGCGGTGCTACAAGTGAGTTGGGTCCCTGCCCGTGCCCAGAACTTGTAGCAGTAAGCACCTAAGCGCGACGGCAGAGTAATGTATGTGCGGGGCCCCTTGCGTAAATTGCCACGTTCCACATAATGCATCTCACGCACACGCTGCTGGAGTCAGTATGGGGAGTTTAGTATGGGCTGGGGGCGAGAGTCAATGAGTCAAGTGCCCTTCTGCACCGATGATGCTGTCCTTGGTGTTGGTTGCTGTCCTGCGCACTCGAGCAATCGGCAGCATTGATGTAGAATTAATTACACGATGTCCAGCAAGCTGTTGAGGAAGCAGCTGGCCGCGCTGCACACGAACGAGGCCGACTCAGGCAAGGGCAATCTGAGTGCGGGCAAGGGCATCAGTAAGCCGGCGCATAAGGAAAAGGGCAGGAAGGTTGGGAGCCGTTCCTCCTCGAAGGTGACTCAAACAAAGGAGGAGATCGTGGCGAGGAACTTGGCCTGGCACAAGCAGACAAAGAAGACGCAGGAGGCGACCCTGGAGCTTATGAACAAGGTGTGATCGATGGATGAACTGAAGCACCGGCACTCATGCTTCCTGTGCCGCCACCTGTGTCACCGCAGCTGCTGCCGCCGCTGCTGGTGCTGCTGCCCCCCTGGGTACGCCTGTGCCCGCCTCCACCCCCCCTCACCGCTTTGTGCACACAGATTCTAGGCAGGCCATCAACAGCTGCGGGCAACGAATCAGACGAGGACATCATTGACATTTAGTGGCAGCAGCCGTAATGGCCTCCAGCAGGTGCCTGGCAGGTGCCACGGCTGAGTTTGTGGGCGGTGTGGCACAGATGCGTCTGCCGGTCGTGGCGGCGCAGCGCCACCAGCGCAGGCATTTGCGTGATACGGTGATTCAGTCGCGGCTCCTGCGAGCGAGGGTCCCATCTTGTGCCTGCATTGCGTGGGCATCGCAGCTTGTCCCAACTCCGGTGCCCAGGCCGCAGCAGCACCCGCAGCCGCACGGTCCGCACCAGCAGCAGCAGCAGCACCATCCACACCAGCAGCAGCAGCAGCAAAAGCAGCAGCAGCGACAGCCCCACCGCGCTCGGCGGAGACCCGGGTGTGTCGCCGCGAGGGCCTCAATCCCAGCTGCAGGCGCTCCGCGGGCAGCGGCGGCGCCAGCGGCAGCAACAGCGGCCCCCTCTCCAGCCGCAGCGCCGACGCGCCCCCCGCGCCGCCGGCCGCTCCCGCGCGCGCGGTCCGCCGCGCCCGGCGCGGGCGGCGCCGACCCTCTCGGCGCCAACGCCCTGGCGGGCCTGTTCATGGCGTATGCCGCCCAGATGCAGCAGCAGCTGCAGCAGCAGTCGGCGGCGTCGGAGCTGCCGGGCGCCAACGTGCTCGCCCGCGGGGTCGCCTTCCACCCGCCCGGCGCTGAGGCGCCGCTGCTCGACGGCGTGGGGTTTGACCTTCGGTCAAACCAGCTGGGGCTCATCATCGGCCGCAGCGGGTCCGGGAAGACGACGCTGCTGCAGCTGCTTGCGGGGCTGACGGAGCAGACGGCAGGGGACGTTTTCATCAGCCGCGGCCCGCTCGACGCGGCCGCGCCGCCGAGGGCGCTGCCGCCGCCGACGCACATCGAGGAGCGGATGCAGCAGGTGTGTGTGTGTATGTGTGTGTGTGTGTGTGTATCTCCAAATGAGAGATTGAAGGTGTGTTTCTTTCGTGTGTATGTGTGTATGTGTGTGTGTGTGAGTGCGTTTATGTGTGTGTGCGTGCGTGCATGCATGTGTGTGTGTGTAGTGTGTGTGTGTGTGTGTGTGTGTGTGTGTGTGTGTGTGTGCGTGCGCGCGCGCGCGCACGCGTGTGCACGTGTTTTGGTGTTGGCATGCCGTTATGAGAGACACGTGGGGACGGCGGCAGAGTGTGCATGGCGCGCTCATTTTCCAAACAGCCGGCAGTTGTGTCGCACGAATCGATCCGCCGCGCCGCCCCGCCGCTTGACCCACCC